ATATATATGCATATTATAAAACATGTTTTGTTATTTTCAGATCAATTAAAATCGGGACCATGGACAAGGGCGGGACATTACACATGACCGCCGCAACACCACCATGGCTCTGCTGATGCGGCGGTTAATTACTGATGCACAGGTTTGTAACAACACTGATAAACCATGTCTCTAATTACCATTTAGGCCCAGTTAACCCGTAATTTAACACCTGATCAAACTGTCCGACAGACAGATTTTTCTTCCATTAAATTTATTTAACCACATGCACATCAAAGACCGCATACAACGTTAATGAATAGTTATATAAAAACATTATTTATTATCACGTCAGTACAAGAAAAAACTAACATAAATGAAGAAGGGATTCGCCTAGAATCTATATCTAGGCCCTAGATAGGTATTCGTATTGAAATTTATACTAAGCGGTTATTTTTTTATACGTAATCTTGCTTACAAAACTGCATGGTTACCATTACGTTTACCATTTGATATTTGTGTTCGTTACATCATACATATCTTAATAAATATCAGTCAAAGAACTATTTTTCCACAAACTAACTTTTTGGATGAATACTGTAGTTCATATTTATGAAAAAGATGAAGCAGCTGAATGGTTTTTAAATTAACCTATAACCTAGCTGTTTTTCGCGAAGTCTGTATGTTTCGGAAGGATTTGGCGATACTGACTTCATACAGTGCTATTAGTGTTAGTGGCTTGACAAATGACATGTATTAACCTAACCTAACCTATAACCTAGCTGTTTTTAGCGAAATCTATGTGTTTCGAAAGGATTTGGCAACACTGACTTCATAGAATGCTGTTAGTGACGTAACATGACAAATTAATGAATTAATTCTTACTCTCTACGAACTGTAATATTTTTTTTCTTACTGGTATTACAATGAAAAATATCACGACAGGATCAAGCTTGGTCCAAACTTGACCCAAGATCGTTCAATTCTGGTCCGAAATTGGCAACCAATTTTAAATTAAATGGATTTTCTTTTTAGCCCAAGCCTGGTTGACAAGCTTGGTCCGCGACATAATTAGGTAGCTAATCAACAATATTAGCCCAAAATTGGGTGACCAATATTAGGTCAAGAATTGGTGAACAATATTAACTAAATTAAACAGTTAATATTATGCCAAGACATGATGAACAAAATCAATTCAAGATTGGGCAACTGTGTTGGTTTTCATCTTGGTCAATACTTCATTGCCCAATATTGGATATAGCTTGGCTTTATATGTATACCTAACCTTGACGAAATTTGACGAAATATTAACATACCCACACTGGACATTTGAAGTTTGCCCAAAATTAAGACCGTTATTGACAAGCCAATGCTTGGATACCCCAGTATGTGACCAAACTTGACGAAGATTTGGACCTACCGTCAAGTCCGGCTACAATGTTAACTACCTACTCTAATGCCTATTATCACAATGTTTGACAGAGCATGCAATTTATAAAATAACAGGACTGATGACCTTGTGATGATGATGATGATGAGGTATATATGAGGACTGTTCAAAATGTATCGCAAACTTTTTTTTTTTTTTAAATGATTTATTTATTCATGAATATCTATTTTGTCCCTTTCAAAGTAATCCTTACCAGATATTATACACTTGCGCCAACATTTTTTCCAATTCTCGAAGGATTTCAAAAAATCATTTTTTGTGAACTTGTTCAGTTCTTCCTTCGATACCGTCTTTATCTCCTTAATCGGAGCGTAGCGTCGTCCTTTAATGGTCCTCTTCAGTTTCTGGAACAAGAAAAAGTCACAGGGGTGTTGTTATTGGCCAAAAATTCGCGCACAACAATGTATGATGTTATCATGGTGCAAAAGTCAATTTTTGTCCTTCCACAAATCCGGGCGTTTCTGACGGATTGCTTCGCGCAAATTGCGTATAACTTGTAGGTAATATTCTTTATTGACCGTTCTGCCCTGTGGCAAAAACTCATGATGCACCACGCCCCTGGAATCGAAGAAAACTGTAAGCAAAACCTTTACATTCGACTTAACTTAGCGCGCTTTTTTCGGTCTTGACTCGTGTGGCAGCTTCCATTGAGATGATTGAGCTTTGGTTTCCACGTCAACCATAAACCTCTGATTCAACACCAGTTATTTACCCTCTGGAACAAATTTGGGTCGTCGTGGACAGAGTTCAACAGCTCCTTAGCAATGTTAATGCAATGCTGTTGTTGGTCGAAATTGTGTAATTTTGGTACGAATTTCGGGGCGACCCATCTCATGCCCAAATCGAATGGCAGGAGCCAATCGATGTGTTTAGGTCCTCAGCAACTTCTCTAACGGTGATTTGACGATTGACCAATACTATTCTCTTCACTTCATCAATGTTTTCGTCTGTTGTAGACATGCACTGGCACACGGAACGCTCTTTGTCGTTCAGATCTTCTCGACCTTCTAAGAACATTTTGTACCATCAATAAATGCTGCTTCGGTCCAAGGAAACTTCACCATATGCAGTCAATATTCGGAATGGGTCCGCGCACTTAATTTTCTTTTTCACACAAAGTGTGATACAGATTCTTTAATCCATTTTTTGGAATAGGCAAAAGTAAAAGACAAACCAGAACATGTGCAAGCAAAGCAGCTGTTAAAAATTAACTGAACATTCAACATGGCCGAACTTGTCAGTACAGGTGAGAGATATGAGTACCAACATAATGCCACGAAAAAATCGAAAATCGAATATACGTAATCCGCGGAAACTAAAAATTTGCGATTCTTTTTGAACAGACCTCGTTGACACTAGTTTTCGAAGGGACGTTCTTTTTCGTATGATCTTGGTTAAATTTATTAGTTTGTCAGCTGGGAGTCAGTGTTTACTGGGTGTGTATAACCGTGTTTTAATGCATGCAGATGTTTCTAAGTTACATGTAAAGATTTTAGTTAGTACAAGTTGAATGCGCATGGACGACTTAACACACATGTGACATGATACCTCCCGTGTTCGAATTTGCAGAGCGTTCTGAGCGGAATCTCGTGGATTTGCTACTGTTGCCACTATCACGGGCTAATTTATTGCCAAAACGACGGCAGACAGAAGACGAAGTCAGCCAGGCAGCTAATACTTACTGCTCCGATGGTCAGAAATACCCACACAGCGGGCCGATGACACCTGAACAGCAAATAAACGTTAACGTGCACACGCCGCGTCGCACCAATACATACGTGTGTATCCAACAAACGACCGACGGGCAAACAATAAACAAAACTTCAGCCTAAACAATGCCCATACAAGCCAAAATCATAAAATTGGCCGGTTCAAAACATTAACCAATTTGAAGCTGATGTTCGCGCTGTTTTTATTCCCAAAGTTGACCTTCAAAGTATCAGATGAAAGTGTGCGGATGGAGGTAGAGCGTTTGCTTTGTAAATTTCTCAGTACACTGAACTTGAAAGCTAATTTGCTATTAGCTGAACTTCATTAACTGCCAGCATTTTTCTATTCTACCATAGGAAACAAGTATAGATCGGTTGGCCTATGAAAAATTTAGTTCACTCACCCAAATATTTGGAGAGGAGCTATTGTTAATACCATAAACCAGGCAAACTTAATGTTCCACAGTCGATAACAGACTCTTTTTAGATGACCTACTTCTCAATAACAATAAAATTCTGAAGCCTTTTGAAACAACATGGTTCAAGTTGCTGGACTGTAAGTGAGGAGCTATAAGGACTTCCTCCCCTGAAGTTTTTGTGGCAGGCAGATTTTGGGAAGGTTCCCTCTCCTTGTACAAGAAACTCAAGCATCAGCATAAAAAGTCAATGGAAGTGGAAATATAGGGATATTCTCTCTTAAATTTTTATAAAAGGGAGGCTTTATTAGGCAGGGACTCTTTAATCGTAAGGGAAACTCAAGCATCTCCACGAGAGCTTTGCAGGAGAGTGAGAAAGCCCATCTGAATATTTCGGTCTCAAACATACGTATGTAGCAATCCTCTTTGCCTGGATTTCTGTTTTGTAAATTTCATTGTAGATTGACGGAAAAGAACGCAACAGCTGGCTCCATCAAGACAGCCATTCAAGAACACAAGGTGGAAGTAGCTTCACAAATTAGGTATGAAAGAAATTTTATCATTGAAGTTCCTGCGCTCCGGAATTACTAAACAGATCCTAATTCTTGAAGTAAACTAATGGAAAGAACTGCCAACAGACGCCTTTGAATGTGTAGTGCATTACATAAAATGCGCTCAGTATTAGAAGGGTTAAGTAGAAATCCAGCTAAGGGAAACAATTATTCTTTCAATGGATGTATTGGGATATATCTAAAATTCGCTGGATGTAGTTCCTTTTACGAATATAAATGAAGTACTACGTTGTTTGCTTTTCTGTGAACCGAAGCGACATTTAAATGTTAAACACTTTTAATGCCATTACATTTTGTTGAAAGGCCGGCGCTTATTGGATAAAGCGATTTAGCATAACTTACTTACATGTTCCGAGAAGGTAGTCGTTTAGGTCGAGTAATAAGCGCTGGAACTGAACAATAGCGTACACGAACGTGCACAACATCCGGCCGCGACTTACTTATATGAGATCGTAAGTACACAGTATAAAGGGTAACTTAATAATTATGCTTAGTGCAAAGCATTTATCAGCAAGGTGATTTTCTAGAAAGCGCATGCATTGTGATATTCTGGTTGTCACTGAACAATAGAAACTTACAGAGAACATTAGAAAACAAAGAAGACATCCAAGAAGAATTCAAATCGGAAATTAATGAGCACCAATGCGTTGCTGTTATTAAATATAAATCTTGTGACCGGAAGTGATTACTACTACATACAGTGGAATAGTACTATCCCAAGAATAGGTAAACGGATTTCCTTCTCAGTCAATAGGGATCAATAATCATATCTTTAATTGAAAGTGCGAGGCTGATGGTTACGCGATTATTTTAATGCCATCATCTTTATGATTGGTCACAAAGATGTTACTGATGAGACAATAAAAAAAATCTTAATTGTATTCCCTCTTGCTACGGGTTATCCTATAAACCCACATTGAAACACAAAATGGTAGGCACTGCAGAACAGACAACAGCCGCCTTTTAGAAATGGTGCATGGAAGTGGGTGGTTCATGGTAGGACGGTGAAATATTAC